TTAGGATTCTTAACCAAAAACCCCAAAAACCCCATGAGTTTATGACTTTGCTTACTTTCCCAGTTTTTGTTTCTCGCAGATTAGACATCCTCCCTGTGGATCGACACCCTTAGTCCTACAAACGTACATATGTGCACTTGCAGACACTAGGGTTTTATAAATTTAAAACTTTTTGAGAACCAGCAAGCTTGTTAAAAACAAACCTTAGGCGTGCAAGCCCATCAAACACCAATCAATTCTCATACAATTTCTGAAACTCAGTTTTAGCATCAACCACAGAATCATCTTCTGCTTCACTCTCAGATGAGTTCTCTTCTTTTTTTAGATCTACCTCTGATTCATATCTAGCCTCTTCTACATCCATATCCGATTCACTGTCTGAAGAGTCACCAAGCTCGTCAATCGTTACCAAGAAAGCTACATACCCAGCAACTTCATCTGAGTCATCATCTTCATCTTCAGAATCAGTCTCACTCATGTCGATAAGAGATTTTTCTTTTTTATTCTGACCTCCAACACATTCAGCTTTAGTGTGACCATACCCATTGCATTCAAAACACTTGAGTTCTCTTCTCTTCAAGGAGGGGCAGTCAGCTTTGAAATGACCATATCCCTGACATTCATGACATTCTTATCACTTATTTTCACACTTTTCCCTTCATTTTTCTGAGTTCGGGAGAAAGGTTTTTTGCTTCTCCGCTCAACCCTTTTTAAAGCTCTGCTGAAGTTCTTTCCCATCAACTGCATCTCATTTTTAAGATCCTGAATCTCCTGTTTCTCCTCAACCACAAGAGTAATTCCCTTCGAACTGCTTGCCTTGTTTGCAGTAATTTCCATTTCATAAGCTTGCAGGTGACCAACCACTTCATCGAAGTCAATGTTATCAGTGTCAAGAGCCATTCCCATTGTTGTTTTCTTGGTTTTGAACTTGGGAGGGAGACTTCGCAAAAGCTTCTTCACAAGCTTCTTATCCTTGTACTTCTTTCCCATATTATGAGCTTCATTTGCAATGGCACTGAGATTTCCACTAAACTCCTCAATAGACTATGTTTCTTCCATCCTCATGGTTTCAAACCTCATCACGAGCATGTGAAGCCTGGATCTTTTTAAATTTGAGGTACCTTCATAGGCTTTCTTCAGTTTATCCCTAGTTTCCTTAGCCGATTCACAGCACTGAATCCTTTTGAACTGGTTTTGATTCACAGCATTGAAAATACCCGATAAAGCCTTTGCATTGTACTTTGCCATGCTGTTTTCGTCATCTGTCTATATAGATTTATCCTTTGGAACATCTAAGCCATCCTCACCCTTAGCCGTGGGAGAGATCCAGCCACTCTCAACTACAGTCCAATCATCCTCGTTGATTCCTCTGATGAGAGCTCTCATCTTCATCTTCCAGTGACCATAGTTTCCTTATAGGATTTTGGTGCAGAGACACCAGCTCCTTAGCATCCATCTTTCCGCAGAATCTTCACATGTTGTAAAGCTACAACTTGGTTCAGATGCCCGCACTAATACCAATTGAAAAAGCAGATGGACCGACAATACTATCTCTAAACTCCAGCATACCAAATTCTTCTTTTTATTAGGAATTTATAAGATGTTTATATACAACACTCCAGCCTAAGACATTTTGTTAGTTGGTGACCAATCAATTTCTAACTACCTTAAACACTAGAAACACACTTAATGCTCTTTCTATGTTTCTCTCACCAATCTGCACTAAATGCATTCTCAGTTATACTTTGGAAGCTAAACATTAACTTTCAGATCTTAACAGAACCGTTCCTGAGTAGAAGCTTATGAAGCATGTGCTTCAAAGCCGATAAACTTAAACATATTTTGAGGGCCAATTTCTCAAACGATAAGTTAGTGCTGGCGGTTAGAACGTGTTTTTACATTCAACAGGTGATCAGTTCAAACCTCTGTAACTCTAATGTGTGTTTTTTTCTTAATCTTTTTTTATAATTAAACTATTAAAAAGGCTGCATGTGTACCTTTTCTATTTTATTTCGGCACTTTATTTTTATTTCTTTTATCTTTTGATTTTAATAAAAGTAATTACATAACTCTACACTGTTTTTTTAACCCTCTTTTGTCTATAGTTCTTATAGTTTTTACAATCCTATTGGTGTATTTCTATGGATTCTATTTATAAGTTATATAGTGATAAAGGATTAGAAAGTTGAACTGTCATATTTTAGAAATAATGTATTGATATTTATTCTTGTTTCGTTTAACATTAGTGTTTTTTTGTAAGTTAATTTTTTATATAAAAGATTTAGGGGCCAAAAAAATTTCCCTCTTCTAGCCTGACAAATCTCAGGACCGGTTCTGGATTTTAAACGGCTAACCTCTCATAAACCTTCTTACTACTTATTTATAGGAGAAAGTAAAAATTTCCTAGGTTAGATAATTGATCCATATAAAACCACCTTGACAACACTTGCCATGTCATTAAAAACTTCTAGCTCAGCAGTCTTCTTGACCCAATATCTCCGAGGTTGTTCCAACAGAGGACTGCAGACTTTTCTTCTTTTTTCTTCAGCAGTTCCACAAACACAGCTACACTTTCACAGTAGATGTCGTAGAAGAAACAAGTTCTCTTTGCAAATACCTAGAAATTTTAGGGGTTGTTTCCTTTTCAATGTAATCCTATTTTGTTTAAATTCAAAAAAAAACTGTAAATTTCCATGAAACTGTAAAAGTATAATATTCATTAAGCTCGATTTAATTCTTGTAAATAATTAGGGTTTAGTATTTGAATGTGTGAAATTGATTGTAATGGCAACATTTGCATAAACTTCCGACTCCATATGTGATTTACTATTTCTAGCATTACGGTGATGACTGATACTTTGGCGATAGCAACGAAAGAATGTATCCTAACACACACATACACGCACAAAAAGAAAAGAAAAAAGAGACAGATCACTAGTCTCCACAAATATGAGAAGATAATTTGCTCTGCAAAGTTGACAAAAGATTTTGGTCTAGTTCCTAAGAATTTCTAGACTGCGGATTTTAGATTTATTTAATTTAATAAGAAAATTATCCGTTTTTACCCAAGTTGAAACAAGATATCTTTCAATCAACGACCAACCACTGCCGAAATAATCTTTCAACGTTAGTAATTCATTACGGTTATGACCCAAAATTCGTTGATCAATAGAATATATTTTTTTCTGTCATTCCGAAGAAATGTTCATGTGTGAACCCCGTTAACATTTGTCCAAATATTTACGCTGTTCGATTATTGCAAAAACCTCACGGTTTTCCTCACGCAAGTGTTGCAGAACAGAACACAGATCTTCAGCTTCCAACGATAGTTATCATACTGAAATGATCATTGGCTTTCCCTAAAGCCCATAAAAATAACTAAGAAACATACCACGGGGATAAATGATAAACCAAAGCAAAGTAAGGATATTGATTCACTGAAGATGTACGGCATAATTAAAACAAAGCTCTAGAGGATGAGTGGATATTGAATCAATGAAGAGGTAAGGCATAAGTAAAACAAAGCTCTAGAGAATGAGTGGCAAACTTGAGACTAGTCATCTTTTTGAAGATGTCATGTCGTGTGAGCTATGAATTGAATAAATTTGGAAACAATTTGAGTGTATCCGACACCGTGTGAAATTACAAGGTCCATTTTAAGTTGTGAGTAGAACCGTGTTCAAGGGTTAAGAAGGAGGCCCTTGACATATTCAGAATCATTGAGAGACATTAGGTCTCCAAGATTTTCCATTCGTAACTCATAAGCTAAGATCTTGAGAGGCCTTTTAACAAAAATAAAATAAAAACAAATATATAAAAAAAACTAAGATCTTGAGAGTGGAACATTAAAGGAGTGTCTCAGAGTTACATAAACTTGTGTTTGTGTAAGGTTAAGTTAAAAGATTTATAGTGGATAAAACACTGAACTTGGTGTTTTTCAAGTCATTAAAAACGGTGTATTCTTTGATTTCTCTACACTTACATTTTCAAGGTTTCGAGGTTTTAAGCTATTTTGTTGATAAAATAGAGTAACTAAACCCTCATTTATTAATATGTTGTATTAAAAGATCCCGCTCTGATGTTTTAAAATGATGTTAGTTTAAACTTTTAAAAATGATGATATAAAAATAAACCTAAAGTCCTAAAGACTAAAGTGTTTTTTACTGGAAACATCCGAGTTTTCTGAATATGTAAAGACAGAACTAAGCAGATAATGTCTAAGACATGTCTTCCTAAAAAAAGTTGGTTGGTATGAATGAGGAATGTAAAGCTATGGTTAATTAGAAAAAAAAATGAAATGTGCAGATAATTGTATGATTGATTGATTGGTTGGCTGGTTAAATAATAATTAATATTAGCTCAACAGTCCCAATCCAATAATTACATTTAGTAGTCTTTATCCAATAAAATTATGGGCCTTCCCTTGGTCGGATCTCACATGGTCGCTTCATGGAGCATAACTAACCTTTTCCACTTTTCTTTACAGAGCTTCAGAACAACTCAGATTAGTTCCCCCCCCCAAAAAAAAAAATAACACAACTCAGATTAGTTAAAAGGAAAAACAACGCAGATTCATACATCTTTAAACACACTGTGATAGCTCAAATTCTTATTTTCTGCCGACATTTATGGAAAACAATAATCTTTGTTAATTTTTTTTTTTATTCTCGAACCCATCATGTTTCAAAACATTCATATTTACGAGAATATTACTTTCAGAATAATTTCATTTTATTCTTGAAGCCATTATACTGATTTCTTAACATATAAATTTGATTTCAGAATATACATATTTATATGAAAATATACTAACATCCTGAAGATGTGCAAATATGCCCTTTTTCGCCAGAATCTAAGTTTTTATTTACTAAGAGAACCAACTTTTTGTTCCCTACTTTTTACCCAAAAGCAATGGCGTTCTAGTAATTTAATCCAAAAATGAAGGGCTAGAACCAACATATAAACCACTCTTGACAATAATACACACTTCTTGGCCCAACACAACACAAAACAAGAAGAAAGAAAACAAGTCTTGAAAATGGTTTCGTTGCGGCAAAAGAAGAAGCAAAATCCAGCAAAGCGAGCATGGAAAAGCTTCACAAACATGGTCAGATCCAAGTTCAGAGACATCGAGATCGCTGCATCGGTCAGAGAATCAACGGCTCGTGTCCTCCGATTCCTCTCTCACCGACTCATCGTGCCTTTCAGAACAAGGTACCTCGAAAACACTAGCTATACAGACAAATACTACATCCGAAGCAATCAAACTTCTCAGCGGTTTCTCAACTTCTTCTCTCGACGTCCTCTCGCCAAAACAAAGCGTCGTCACAATGAATACGGTGACAGTTACTCTCAATTCTATCAATATCAAAGCCAATCACGCATCGAGGAGAGTAGCAGGAGTGAGAAAAACGAGAAAGCTGTGGGAAGAAAAGAGGAGACAAGAGGAGAAGAAGATGAGGGGATGCCGGAAATCGCTGATTCGATGGAAGATGCTTGGAAGAGAGTGGTGGCTGCGTCTCCTCATTTGAGGGTTGACGAGAGAGCCGACGAGTTCATCTACAAGTTTAGAGAAAGTATGAAGATGGAGAAGGAGAGGTCTTTTCTTGAGTTCCAAGAAAGGTTAAAACGAAGTGCTTGAATTCTTGATTGATCAATCATGGATTCATGTGTGTTCTTAAATCTTAGTTGTTCGTCTTTTGATTTTTTTTTTTTTGATGAACTTTTGCTTTCTTCTGCTCCTTTCTTCTTTCTTAAAATTTGGAAAATTCTAAGTGTTAACGAAAAAAAATACATTTTTATTTTTCTTGATATAATGTGAATACATATGGCTTACCACTCTAAAACTCATTAATGTAAAAACATTTTTATTCTTCTTGTTCTTCTAATTCTTCTATTATTACTTCAATACAAACATGTCTGTTTTCGTGTCAAACTTTATGTAATTGTTGGCAAAAGGTGATTTTTATTATATTAATACAAAGATGCAAAAAGGGAAAGAACAACTAAGTTGGACCCAGAAGAGCAAATTCTATTTTAAGCTTCCATTACAAATGATGAATCATGGTGATGCATGCCAACCAATTCCACTCTTCACATTCCTATAACTGCTTTCTCTCATCCAGCAATGAATTAAAAATGGGCTATGGACTCTCAAGACTAATGTTTTCCAAGAACTATTTGATAAAACTCTCATTCCAACTTCACATTAATTGAGATGATACAAAGCTGCAATAGTAGTTCCTAGATCTAATTTTGTTCTGTTCTCGGATGCAAATAAAAATTTACAACCTGATTAGTTTCTTACTGTTTCAGGTACCAAACAGAAAAAAAAAAGTCTTAGATGAGTGAACCGGGTGTGTACAAACTCATATCCGGATCATCTTCGTCGTCATAATCTGGTTCTGTAGATGGTCTACTTCTCTTTGCCTCTCTTGCCACTGCTTGTCCTCTCCCTTTCTTCGGTTTTCCCCTGTAATTGAACCACAATGGTCAAACCAAAAACATGTAATCCGATACAGACATGTTATGTATGAACAAGGTCAAAGAAACTAACTGTCCCGTGGATAATCCACCCTTGGATCTCCCTGGCCCCAATTCAGCTCGTCCATCTATAATATCAAGAGATAAAATGTGTGAGAAACTGATCTGTCATTAGGAAGAGTGAATTCTGCGTAGTTGTAGTTGCATTGTTTACCTTCTCTTCCAACACCAAGTTCTTCAGCCTGAATACATATCAGGAAGATCAACATACCAGTCTATAAACTTCGGTTTATTGTAAGCATCAACTTGAAAAGAAAAAACGAAAAACAAAACCTTTTCCACTACTTAAGCCAACCAATTCTGACTAAAGAAAATAGAGTGATAAATTAACAAAAGACAGGCCTTTCACATCTAGATTGTTCAGCTTTTAACGCTAGTTTGAATCTGCTAGAGATGTTAGCTATGTGGTAACTGACCATATCTTATGAAATACTCTATCCTCAAGCCAAACTCTATATACGAAACATCAGCTCTTTTGGCGGTGATTCTATTGCCAACCAACGCAAGAAAGCAAAAAAAAAAAAAACGTATTTGAATACGAGAGATTGTAATAAAGATTGTATAAAAACATACAGCCGGTGACGTGACTGAGGACAATGAGAAGACTCTGTCTTCAGGTTGAAACTTCCTTGACCTCTTAGCACTACAAAATGGGATCATATCAAAGTCAATCAATCAATCACTCCACACAATGCTAAACCCTGAGAAGCTTATACATTTATCGTGAAAGGAACAGCAATCAATTAGCAATAATCAGTGCTACACAGAACAAATTTTGAGTCTATACTGAGAAATTTGTCTATTGATACATATTTCACTTAGAAATGATGATCAACAAGTGTTTGAAGCTGCAAACAGAACATTTTCGAGTTTCAATTTTTCCTCTACAAAGCGAGAGAAGAAGAAGAGAACGAGAGACCTAGCAGAACTTTTCGAAGAAGACAGGAACCCTTCAAAGCCCTTCAACGCATTTCCTATATGACTCGATTCTTGAAGATAGCTTGTCTCCAATTCATAAACCTAAGGATACAAAGAACCTTAAGATTTTTCTCTCCAGTACGGGCACTAAGTCATGATTTCTCTATGAAATCGACAAATTCCAAGTTTCGAATTTACATTGCTCGAGAGACCTTTTGAACCCTAACCTGTTTCTCGATGCTCCGTAACTCTTGCCGGAGCTTCTCTCGCTTGTTCAAAAGAGAAGTGAGCATCGCACCAGGATCCGCCGAACTTTTTTGCCCTAAGGACATTCCGGTGGATTTTTTTCCCCCAAATCAATCAGCTTTTGCCCAATCCGGAGATGGGTTTTCGATAAAATTCGACGCCGGACCTGATTTGAGTCGATTATGACGGAGATGATTGTGTGGGGATACCACCAATTGGGGATTTTTAACGGTTAACGTCGGGTTCCAATGTTTCTTGGGGAAATTCAATCTCGCGAAATTGGACGTTTTTTTCTTTAAGTGTATTACGTTTTTTATTTTAATCCTTTTTTAGGAAATCCCATCGTGAATTATATATTTTTCAGTAAACTTACTTAAAATAAAATAAAATTTCGAGAATATGTATATATATTTTTTTCTTAGAGAATGAATTGCAGGTATTTTTAATCGATACACAATTTTTTTATGAAAAAAAAAACCTTTTTAAGAAATTATTATCTATTAAAACATTTTCCTAAAATTCGTTTTTTTTGTTTCGACTCCTAAAATTCGTTTAAATATGGAGGAATAGCAGAAGAAGAAGAGGTGTTGTTCGGTGATGCGATTAATATTCTGCTTCAAAGCAAGGATAAAGTTTTGAACAATTTATCAGAACATGAACAAACTTGAAGCGTATATCTTGATAAATTCGGTCCAAGACATTTCTTGATCCGAAAACAATTTATTACAAGTTCTATACGACAATAGACGTATTTTTAATAGTGAATTATTTTTTATAATGAAATATTTTGAGATAGATTCTTTTTCTTAACGCTTTGCTACACCCTTATAAACATTTGAAAGCATAAAACAAATGATGAAAACAACAAAGATTCAACTTTATTATTCGAAAGAAATAGACTTTTTATTTAATGTGTTCCATAAAGAACATACTTATTGCAAAAACTAAACTTCAGCAAACAGATCACGCAAGATAAGAGACAATCTTTGAAACTTTGCTGTAGAAACTCCAATCGGGATGAGAAGAATCAATCATTGACTGACCAAAAGAATGCTCTTTTATATATGCCTGAACATCCGATGCATTCGCCAGATCATCCAAGTAAGCACAGAATTTTCTTTCTGGATCTAACAGAATCAAACCAAACCAATCATAACCAAAAATGATTGCTAAAGGTAAAGAGATAAACATGGAATATTCAACTGATGTCATACCAAGAAGATCATCTTTTTTATCATTAGCATCATAACTGAATGGGAACAAACCAGTATGATCCTGCATGCATGGGGAAATTAAAGATCAATAAAAGTTGGAAGAATTAAACGATTAAAAGCGCCACTAAAGAAATTCAAGTATTTTACAGGATTAAGAAGAGCTTTGTATGGCTCTTCATCAATGAAGATGGTGTTTGAAGCAGAGAACCCTTGAAAGCACTTGAACACTTTAGAGAGATCCTTGAAGAACATAGGTTTAGCACCGTTCTCTAGTGTCTTAAATCCACTGTCCGTACACTTTTCTTGATCCTATATATCAGAAAGTTTATATCATAAATACACACGCACACATATACATTGATACATATATATATAGATATATATATATATAATAAGTCTTACCCAAACAAAAAGAAGCTTTTCTTTGAGATCTTTGAGAACGATGTTTAGAACTGTATCAACATTTCTCCTACCAATCAAAGCCATGAAATCAAACCAACGTAATATATTTGAATATGCCAAAAATAAATAACATGTTTCCAAAATAGATGAAAATGAAGAGACTAACTCGCAAGCAGAGGACCAAATCCCAACTTCGTATCTCTCAAGACAGAACTTCATAAACTCTTCAGCAAATGGCCTCTTATACACTAAACAACAAAACAAACATAATTAAGCTAATGATATAAGAACATGAAAATTAGTAAATCATTGTAATAAAAATAAGAATGAAATATTACCAAGATTTGGCCCACATGAAGCATCTGGCGTACGGTTCTTAGGCTTTTTACACATATTTTTTATATGAACTCTGTGTAGAAGTAGACCATTCAGACTTAAGACCATTAGTTTCTTCTTCTGCTTCTTGGGTCCCAAAGTAAGCTTGTCCAATATCGTACTCAGGTCTGTCGTCTGCTCATCTGAAGCTGTGTCACCTGAGTGCTCATCGTCGCTGTCGTCGGATGCAATGATGATCTTCTTGTTCTTTTCTTCCGCCATTGGTATTCTGCTTATGATCGTCGATAGTAACAAGGTATATTTATATTAAAAGGGTTTAGTCATTAATTAAGGTGGTGGCGATTGGCGATTTAGCTTCACGAGGCGTTTTTCTTCATGTGACTCTTTGGATACTGATATTCTTCGATTTTCATATTTTTCTGTTCTTGAATATTCATTCATTAATGGGAAAAACAAACAAACTGGAAATTAAGTGAGTAACCATTAATAAACTTATATCCCCAACTATTAACGCGTCTAAAGAGAGAATTTATGATTATGTTTCTATGAATAATTATTAGTTTCTATTTTCTTTTTCGATGGTATAGTTTTCATTTAGTTTGATCAATTGTATAGTTTCCTTTTTCGATTATTATATGTGGACTATATTGAGATTAAAAACATACAGTAGTTAACACTTTGACAATGCTTCATGCTCTAAGTGCAAACTATAACTATTGATTCATGCTTGCTATATAAATTTTTTATATTTATTAAATTTTCGTGTGCGATCTAAAACTGGTAGATCCAGATATCAAAAGTCAATCTCATAAGCAATTTCATAAGAATAAACAAAGATTAATTAGGTGGGATCATGGGATGTCAAAATTGTAGAGACAAATGAAGTAAAGATAATAATATGACTTAACTTATTTTTTGGATAATTTTTTCATTTATTTTAACTATACCAAAACGTATCTCTAATGTGAAATTATAATTTCTTAAATAGATGTTAAGAGTTTTATTCTGTAAATGACAATCATATGATAAAAGCAAACGTTATTCACATTGAAACATAAGGCTGGGCAAAATATCCGTTATATTTGCTTCGATCCGTTATCCGTTTCGATTCGATCCGAAAAATCCGGATATCCGTAATTTTATGGAACAAAGCAAATATTAAAATTCAATATCCGTTAAAACGGAGCAAATCACAAATACTAAAAAAAATTAAGACGGATATCCGCTCCGCTTCGGTATAAATATATATGTATATATAGATAGATAATAATTCATATAAAATGTATAATTATTATATATAAATGTATAAAATTTTTGTGAGTTTTTTGTTTATAAATTTGATTATTATAAATATTAAAACTTAATAAGTTAACAAAAAATATTTTTTAAAAGAAAATATTATCATTTTTAGCTAAATTTTGATTTTTAAAAATTTTATTTTAAATATATTATTATTTAAATATTTTTATGGGGCGGATCGGATATCCGACAAATATTTAGATTTTTAGTGGATATCCGAAAAACGGATATCCGGATAGTTACGAAACGGATACAGATCGAAAACATGATTATCCGGACGGAGCGGAGCGGATCACGGATATCCTCAAAATCCAGGATATCCGCTCCGCCCAACCTTATTGAAACATATACAAATCCAACCTGGACCACCTCAAAATCGAAAACCTAAAGAAAAATGAAATTCTATGACTCTAATTAGTAATAAAAATATTTAAGTTTATATAAATTGTTCTATTGTTACCAATTGAAGGTAACATATTAATGTTTCTTTTGACTATTTAAAAATTAGAAAATATTTTATCAAAATTAATTAAAATTTAATTATTAAAACGCTAAAAACAAATCCAACAAAAGAAATATGCATGTATGTGTAGGTACTCACATAGTACAGTATTATAAATATTTTGAAAACGCATACTCATATGATCCGGAAAAAACAAACAAGTTTTTAAATGGTTTAAGAAAGGAGGAGAAGAACAAGAAGAAGATCGAGGAGAAGAAATGGTTTAAAAGGTTCAACAACAACAAAATGGTTTAGGTAAGAAGTTGTATAGATTTTTTAAATAGGTGCAAAACAGTAAAATTATTTTATCCTCGTCGTGCGTTCCACACGAGTCGTTTTCAAGAGCAATATTTTTTTTAGATGATACTTCTTTTTTTTTTGCTTAGACGATACACTTCACAAATTGTTATTTTATGTTGGATATGTTACAAAAGTCAGAAAAATCAGCAACTTACAAAGTCAAACATTGTAGCGATAGATGAAAACGTGAGTAAATTTGTAGAGTCCGCTTTCACTATTTATGCATAATAACTCAAACTTTTTACGTCTATATATACGAAGGAAATTCTTCGATTATAAACACACAAAAAAACATTTTCATTCTCAATAACATCCTCCTCTCTCTCTTACTCTCTCGCTCTCTCTTTTACGAGTATCCTGTTCTTTGCGGGTATAAATTTTTTGTTTTTTATTATATTTATCTATATAATAAATTATACATATTATTATAACACGTTATTAGCATGATAACTCTACGTTATAGCTAAATATATATTCATAATATATACACTACTATCATAGGCGGTATGTCGCTTGTATAACTATTTATTATTTTCAGTGGATGTTTAACACACCACTATTATTTAATATTATAATGAGCGGTTTGTCTCGCCTTGTTATCATTTTATTATTTTATATCATGGTTGCTAAATGCACCATAGTTATTTATTTTTATTAATATTACAATGGCCGACTGTGTCGCCTCGTAATTTAGTTACTAGATAAATGTGGATGACTATGTCACCATAATATTACTGTTAAATATATGTTTATATAATGGTTGTTATATAAGTAGGTTCTGCCACCTGTATATAAACCTTATGTCTAAAAATTAATAGGTTTAACTGATTGTTTATTAAAATATTCGGATTAATTTTTTTCTTCAATTATTTTCTCACCAACGGTCACAAAGAAAATCTTTCAAAATTTTTCACTTTTTCAAACGGCTATGAACAGTGTTTTTCAATCTATAAATATACTTATCCTTCATTCATTCATTTCACTCAAACATCATATCTTCCCTCAAATATTTTTCGGTTTTCATTCCATAAGAAAGATGATTCGTTTGTTATTGATTTTAAGCGCGATTGTAATTTTTGCTTCTATTTATGGTCTCTCCGCTGGAGAATTTACTCCCGAAGAGTATACCACAACTGTTATGTTACTTTTTTATGCAATATTCTTCTTTGTAATTGCTTTAGTTATTCATGTAAACGGTTCGTTTTAATGTAAAACATTATTATCTTACTAATAATATTTTTGCATTCATGTTTTAGAAATGGCAAACATTGAGAAGCTTAAGTTCCCGGCTCTCAGAATAACTGGAGCAAACTACATAGCATGGATCACCAATGCGGAACTTTATCTAGAGTCGAAAAAGTTAACCGACACCATAAAAGAAGAAAATGAATCGTCTGCCCATGATAAGGCAACAGCGATCATTTTCCTGAGGAAACATCTAGAAGAAAATGTGACGCACGACTATGCGCACATAAAAGATCCAGCAGAGCTCTGGCAAGCTCTTAAAGAAAGGTTTGACAACCAGAGGGAAATAGACCTCCCCCATGCTCTTGAAGAGTGGAAAAACTTGAGGTTTCAAGATTTTGAAAAGGTTGAGGATTATAATTTTGCTATTCTGAGAATTGTCTCACAACTGAAATATTGTGGTAAACCCGTCACCGATGCAGAAATGCTCGAAAAGACGTACCTTACATTTCATAAGGAACATCGTATCCTACAAGAAATGTATAGGAATCGTGGGTATACAAGATTCTCTGAATTGATTGTGACACTCATATTAGCAGAGAAGAATAATGAACTTCTCATCAGAAACCACAATTCTCGACCTACGGGAACCAAAGCATTTCCTGAAGCAAATGCGATGGTTATAGGAAAACCAGAAAGGAAAAGTCAAACCAATAAGGGTCGTGGCCGTCGATTTAATTGTGGACGAGGTAGGACTTACAACCCAAAAGGGAGGAACTCATACAAGTGGGTTCGGTCTGAACAAACTTCAAAGGGGAAAGAACCCCAAACGAATATCACCCAGAAGCGTGAGGATGTATGTTACAGATGCGGGTCCAAAGGACATTGGTCTCGTACCTGTCGAACCCCTCCACATCTTTGTAAGTTGTTCCAAGAGTCTGTCAAAGGCAAAGGGAAAGAAGTGAACCTCACGGAACACTTCGAGGGTACATCATACCTCGACTCCTCCGAATTTGCGGATGATTTCGACGAGACCGCTGTAGCGGATAACTGAATTGCTTGTAGTGAGACTACTGAATAGTCTCCGCTAATGCCATGTATAATTATTACATTTCTGTTTTGAAAGGAATAATGTTGAGTCTCTCAACAACCTATTGTATAATTATTACGTTTTCAGTTTTAAAATATATAGTGTTATTTTTACAACAATGTATAATTATTGTATGCTTTCCTATGAATGAAATTTATGTTTTCTTCATTAATTTTTATGTTAATTACAGAGATGGATCATATTAAAGATGGAACAACATCCAAGGAAAATGTTCGAGAAATCTGTATACCAGATAGTGGAACAACACACACTATCTTGAGAAAGAAAAAAATATTTCTCTAATTTGAAACCGACAAAGATTATTGTCAATACAATATCGGGTCCCGCAGACTTGATTGAAGGAACAGGTAAAGCCAACTTTACGTTGCCTAATGGAACAAAATTTTCCATCAATAATGCCTTGTATTCTCCAAATTCAAAAAGAAATTTGTTAAGTTTCAAAGACATATACCGTCAAGGATATGACACTCAGTCTGTAACTGAGAATGGAAAGAAGTATATGTATGTAACTTCTGATAACTTAGGCAAAAGACTTATATTGGAAAAGTTTCCAGAATTCCCTTCCGGTTTGCATCATACTTATATAGATGCAATAGAATCGCATCTCGTGACAAAACGAAATCCAGAAGATTTAACATTGTGGCATGATCGCCTCGGTCACCCAGGAACATCAATGATGCGAAAAATTATAGAAAGCTCACATGGTCATTCGATGAAAATCCAGGAGATACATCTGAGAAATAAAATGACATGTGCTGCATGTTCTCTTGGTAAATTGATTATAAGGCCATCGCCAACCAAAATTAATAATGAATCACCAAAGTTCCTTGAACGAATTCAAGGGGATATTTGTGGACCAATACATCCATCATGTGGACCATTCCATTATTTTATGGTATTAATTGATGCATCCAGCAGATGGTCACATGTTTGTCTATTATCATCTCGAAATATGGTATTTGCAAGATACTCAGATAATAAAACTGCGAGCTCAGTTTCCTGATTATCCCATTAAGAGTGTTAGATTAGACAACGCTGGTGAATTCACATCCCAAGCATTCAATGATTACTGTATGGTAATAGGAATTGAAGTTGAACATTCTGTGGCTCATGTCCATACACAAAATGGATTGGCTGAATCTAAGCGTCTGCAACTGATTGCAAGGCCATTGATTATGAAATCAAAACTCCCAACATATGTATGGGGGCATGCTATTTTGCATGCAGAAGCACTCATTCGGATAAGACCAAGTGCGTACCATAAGTACTCCACGTTACAATTAGCATTTGGTCGAGAACCAAATATTTCCCATCTAAGGATCTTTGGTTGTGCGGTTTACGTGCCTATAGCGCCACCGCAACGAACAAAGATGGGACCACAAAGACGGTTGGGAATATATATTGGATATGATTCTCCATCTATTATATGATACCTAGAACCACTGACTGGTGATGTTTTTACGGCACGATTTGCCGATTGTCACTTTGATGAGAAAGTATTCCCGGTTCTAGGGGGAGAAAATAAGGGTGTAGGAAAGGATATCAAATGGAGTGTACCATCTCTGTTACACCTTGATCCTCCCACTAAACAGTCAGAACTAGAAGTTCGACGAATTATGCATTTGCAGAGTATAGCAAACCAGCTACCTGATGCATTTGCAGATACCAAGACGGTTACTAAATCACATATACTAGCTGCAAATACTCCTGCTCGTATTGATATACCACAAGAACGTGGAAAAGCAGATGATACACGTGAGTCTAGAACACGCTTGAAGCGTGGTAGACCTGTCGGTTCTAAGAACAAAAATCCTAGAAAACGAAAGGAGACTGAAATGCATAATACTCCCAAAATAGCAGAAAGTATTTTGGAAGAAGCAAATCATGAAACTAATGATAATCCAGAGCCTCATGAACCTGAGAAAAATCATGAGATTTCCATAAACTACATCCATAATGGAAAGATATGGAATAGAAATGAGATGGATGATGTTGACGACGTTTTCTCATACCTAGTATCTAAGGAAATAGATGATGAAAATGAAGATCCAGAGCCAAGGTCTGTATACGAATGTCAAAAGAGGCAAGATTGGCTGAAATGGAAAGATGTTATACAAGTTGAGCTAGATTCTCTTAATAAACGAAATGTATTCGGACCAATTGTACTCACACCTGGAGATGTGAGGCCGGTTGGATACAAATGGGTTTTTCGTTCGGAAATGAAATGAGAAAAATGAGATTATGAGATACAAAGCTCGTCTTGTGGCACAAGGTTTTTCTCAAAGGCCTAGAATAGATTATGAGGAAACATATTCTCCCGTTATGGATGCAATCACATTTAGATTCTTGATGAGTCTAGCTGCTGTTGAAAATCTAGAGATGCGTCTCATGGATGTCGTTACAGCATATTTGTATGGAACATTAGATACAGATATCTATATGAGAATCCCCGACGGATTTAAGATGCCTGCAGCATTAAATTCTAAACCCAAAGAGTTATGTTCAATAAAATTACAAAGATCATTGTATGGGCTAAAACAATCTGGACGTATGTGGTACAATCGTCTCAGTGAACATTTAACAAAAGAAGGATATGTGAACAATCCTATATGCCCATGCGTTTTCATCAAGAAAACAACATCCGGATTTGTAATTATCGCGGTATATGTTGATGATCTCAATATTATTGGAACTCATGGGGAAATACAAAAGGCATCACATTGTTTAAAAGGAGAATTTGAGATGAAAGATCTCGGACAGACAAAGTATTGTCTTGGCTTACAAATTGAGCATTCTGAAAAGGGTATATTTGTGCATCAATCCACATATACGAAAAGAGTGTTAAAACGCTTTAATATGGATAAAGCAACTCCTTTAAGTACTCCTATGGTCGTTAGATCACTTAAGGTTGAAAATGATCTATTTCGACCACATGAGGAAAATGAAGAGATACTTGGTCCTGAAGTACCATACCTTAGTGCAATTGGAGCCCTTATGTACCTAGCCAATTGTACACGGCCTGACATATCATTTGCTGTTAATCTTCTGGCAAGATTCAGCTCGTCCCCTACACGAAGACATTGGAACGGAATCAAACATGTCTTTCGTTATCTCCAAGGGACTATTGATTTAGGTTTGCTCTATCCTAAAAATTCAAAAGGTCAAATGATTGGTTTTGCAGATGCAGGATATTTATCGGATCCACATAAAGCCCGATCACAAACAGGATATGTATTCACGATCGGAGGCACTGCTATATCTTGGCGTTCTCAGAAGCAGACGCTCGTGGCCACTTCTTTGAATCACGCTGAAATTATCGCGCTCCATGAAGCAAGCAGAGAATGTGTATGGCTGAGATCAATAAGTCAACATATCCAATCAAGCAGTGGAATTCACGTAAATATGGAACCAACTATCTTATATGAAGACAATGCTGCATGTGTTGCCCAGACAAAGGAATGTTATATCAAAAGTGATAGAACCAAACATATCCCTCCAAAGTTCTTCTCATACACTCAAGAGCTCGAGAAGAATAAAGAAATTGAAGTAAGATATGTCCGATCTTGCGAAAACGCAGCATACCTCTTCACAAAATCATTGCCGACCACTATGTTCCGAAAACATGTTCATAATATTGGAATGCGCCATCAACGAGACTTACAGAATGACATCTAGTCATTCGAGGGGGAGCTTACGTAGTTGTACTCTTTTTACCTTCCATGGGTTTTCCCACTGGGTTTTCCTGGAAAGGTTTTTAACGAGGCAACAAAGACAAAACGTAAAAGAAGAAATAGTAAATTCGGTCTCCAAGGGGGAGTGTTACAAAAGTCAGAAAAAGCAGCAACTTACAAAGTCAAACATTATGGTGATAGATGAAAAACGTGAGTAAATTTGTGGAGCCCGCCTTCACTATTTACGCATAGTAACTCAAACTTTTTAAGTCTATATATACAAAAGAAATTCTTCGATTGTAAACACACAAAAAAACATTTTCATTCTCAATCACATCCTCCTCTCTCTCTTACTCTCTCGCTTTCTCTTTTACGAGTATTCTGTTCTTTCCGGGTATAAATTTTTTTGTCTTTTATTATATTTATTTATATAATAAATTATACATATTATTATAACAGGGTATAAAATTTGAAGATGCGCTTGGAAACGACAAAATGACGTTACAATGTTCCAAGAGGTACAAAAAATTAAGTCTCCTTTATTCTTTCACTGTGACCACTGACTACAGTCTACAAGATGACTAGATAGACTGCTTTTAGTCGATGTTGATGTTTATACGATTTTGATGAGACCGGGTTCGATTATTCATTGGTGTCAAATTAGTGGCATGGATTTTATTTTATGTTTATGTTTTTATATGTTTTATATATTATTTTTTTAAAAATACAATGTGTCATGTTAGTTATCAATATTAGTGTTTTTATATAACAACAAATTTCTCTTAATTATTATTTTTATTAACTTTCTATTAATATTTCTATGTATATATATATATGTCTATTAACTTCTAGATTTATGATTCACGTGTTGCGCGGAATTTTGTTGTTTAAACTGTTAATTCATCATATTTGTTTTTTTATTTTTTTTATTAGACTCATTCTTCAATTTTATATTATCATTGTTTGTTAGTTTCATTTTTGTTCTCCTTTCTAATTTTCAACATTTTTGTTTTTGTATTTTTTGAAATTCCTCTTTATCAGCTTTGTGTTATTCTTCCTCATTTTTTTTACCTTTCTTTTTTCTTCATCTTCAT